CGTTTACTGTTGTGTGAGTTGTCTGTGTATCGTAACGCCCTGATGACATTTCGTTTACTGTTGTGTGAGTTGTCTGTGTATCGTAACGCCCTGATGACATGACATTTACTGGTGTGTGAGTTGTCTGTGTATCGTAACGCCCTGATGACATTACGTTTACTGGTGTGTGAGTTGTCTGTGTGTCGTAACGCCCTGATGACATTACGTTTACTGGTGTGTGAGTTGTCTGTGTATCGTAACGCCCTGATGACATGACATTTACTGGTGTGTGAGTTGTCTGTGTATCGTAACGCCCTGATGACATTACGTTTACTGGTGTGTGAGTTGTCTGTGTGTCGTAACGCCCTGATGACATTACGTTTACTGGTGTGTGAGTTGTCTGTGTATCGTAACACCCTGATGACATTACGTTTACTGGTGTGTGAGTTGTCTGTGTATCGTAACACCCTGATGACGTTACGTTTTCTGGTGTGTGAGTTGTCTGTGTATCGTAACGCCCTGATGACGTGACATCTACTGGTGTGTGAGTTGTCTGTGTATCGTAACGCCCTGATGACATTACGTTTACTGTTGTGTGAGTTGTCTGTGTATCGTAACGCCCTGATGACATGACATTTACTGGTGTGTGAGTTGTCTGTGTATCGTAACGCCCTGATGACATTACGTTTACTGGTGTGTGAGTTGTCTGTGTGTCGTAACGCCCTGATGACATTACGATTACTGGTGTGTGAGTTGTCTGTGTATCGTAACGCCCTGATGACATGACATTTACTGGTGTGTGAGTTGTCTGTGTATCGTAACGCCCTGATGACATTACGTTTACTGGTGTGTGAGTTGTCTGTGTGTCGTAACGCCCTGATGACATTACGTTTACTGGTGTGTGAGTTGTCTGTGTATCGTAACACCCTGATGACATTACGTTTACTGGTGTGTGAGTTGTCTGTGTATCGTAACACCCTGATGACGTTACGTTTTCTGGTGTGTGAGTTGTCTGTGTATCGTAACGCCCTGATGACGTGACATCTACTGGTGTGTGAGTTGTCTGTGTATCGTAACGCCCTGATGACATTACGTTTACTGTTGTGTGAGTTGTCTGTGTATCGTAACGCCCTGATGACATGACATTTACTGGTGTGTGAGTTGTCTGTGTATCGTAACGCCCTGATGACATTACGTTTACTGGTGTGTGAGTTGTCTGTGTGTCGTAACGCCCTGATGACGTTACGTTTACTGGTGTGTGAGTTGTCTGTGTGTCGTAACGCCCTGATGACATTACATTTACTGGTGTGTGAGTTGTCTGTGTATCGTAACGCCCTGATGACGTGACATCTACTGGTGTGTGAGTTGTCTGTGTATCGTAACGCCCTGATGACATTACGTTTACTGGTGTGTGAGTTGTCTGTGTGTCGTAACGCCCTGATGACATTACGTTTACTGGTGTGTGAGTTGTCTGTGTATCGTAACACCCTGATGACATTACGTTTACTGGTGTGTGAGTTGTCTGTGTATCGTAACACCCTGATGACGTTACGTTTTCTGGTGTGTGAGTTGTCTGTGTATCGTAACGCCCTGATGACGTGACATCTACTGGTGTGTGAGTTGTCTGTGTATCGTAACGCCCTGATGACGTGACATCTACTGGTGTGTGAGTTGTCTGTGTATCGTAACGCCCTGATGACATTACGTTTACTGGTGTGTGAGTTGTCTGTGTATCGTAACGCCCTGATGACATTACGTTTACTGGTGTGTGAGTTGTCTGTGTGTCGTAACGCCCTGATGACGTTACGTTTACTGGTGTGTGAGTTGTCTGTGTGTCGTAACGCCCTGATGACATTACATTTACTGGTGTGTGAGTTGTCTGTGTATCGTAACGCCCTGATGACGTGACATCTACTGGTGTGTGAGTTGTCTGTGTATCGTAACGCCCTGATGACATTACGTTTACTGGTGTGTGAGTTGTCTGTGTGTCGTAACGCCCTGATGACATTACATTTACTGGTGTGTGAGTTGTCTGTGTATCGTAACGCCCTGATGACATTACGTTTACTGGTGTGTGAGTTGTCTGTGTATCGTAACGCCCTGATGACGTGACATCTACTGGTGTGTGAGTTGTCTGTGTATCGTAAGGCCCTGATGACGTTACGGTTACTGGTGTGTGAGTTGCCTGTGAAAGGTGCCACCGGGGGAGCACCATACACTCACCTTTTTGTGAACACTTGATTTCACCACTATTTGATAGTGATTTATCTACATGTTAATGATCTAGTCGGAACTCAAAAACCTCAGTGCATCAGTTATAACTACAATAGGTTTATTGTTCAGCATTCAGCATATAAGACTGTGTTCACAACTTCACACTATTGCCACCTGCACACAACATTAACTCATTTACTGCTGATGCATCTGTTGCAGTTTCCAGGGTTAATCAATGGGAAGTTATTAACACACACAATCATGGATCATATGAAAGTGTCGGCCATATTTGATTACTGTGCGGTGTAATGGAAGGAAAGCATCTGTCACGTCCATGTAGAAATTATTTTATTTACAAGTTTACTGCATGAATGCAAGTAATAACATACATAAAATATAATTCCAACAAATACAGTTAGCCGATAAAATCCAATATATAACTGATTCCCTTGTTTGTGTGTTGTGTGGTGGTACGTGGTGTTGTGGTGTGTGGTGTGTTGGTACGTGTTGTGTGTTGTGGTGCGGTGTGTGTTATGGTGTGGTGGTGCGTGTGGTGAGTTGTGTGGTGTGTTGGAACGTGTTGTGTGGTGTGTTGGTACGTGTTGTGTGTTGTGGTGCGGTGTGTGTTATAGTGTGGTGGTGCGTGTGGTGTGTTGTGTGGTGTGTTGGAACGTGTTGTGTGGTGTGGTGTGGTGTGGTGTGTGTTCTGTAGTGGTGTGGTTGTGTGTTGTGGTGCGGTGTGTTTTATGGTGTGGTGGTGCATGTGGTGTGTTGGAACGTGTTGTGTGTTATGGTGTGGTGGTGCGTGTGGTGTGTTTGTACGTGTTGTGTGTTATGGTGTGGTGTGTGTTGTGGCATGGTGTGTGTTGTGGTGTGGTGGTGCGTGTGGTTTGGTGTGTGTTGTGGCGTGGTGTGTGTTCTGTAGTGGTGTGTGTTGTGGTGTGGTTGTGTGGTGGTGCGTGATGTGTGGTGGTGCGTGTGGTTTGGTGTGTGTTGTGGCGTGGTGATGCGTGTGGTGTGTGTTGTGGTGGTGCATGTGGAAACGTCTTAAGTGGTGAACTTGGAAGGCTGATTACAACTAATTACCACACATTTTGCTATATTTGACAGACAAAGTTGCTAGGGGCATTAAATAAAGTAGTAAGTGATTTATTTCAGAAAGTGTCACACCTTGTATCAATACAGAACAAAATGTATCATGTATCGTATCTTTGCATGAAAACTTACGAAGCACCAGTGTATCCTTTCACCCCTAGTGTATCCCTGTGTATTATCAACACTATGGAGGGGAAAAGACAAAAATGTTCACAGGAACATTTGACCTTTTCCAAGCAGGTTCATTGACCATCCACTCGCTGCCTAGATACTGCATGTCTAAGCCACTCTGCAATATTCCAGCTATATGACGGCCACTGTAAATAATCGAGTCTAGACCAGACAATCCAGTGACTGACGTCATGAGCATCGATTTGGGATATGATGACTTGCATCAACCAAGTGATCCCATTAGTCAACTTTTGGTAGCTGTAATTAAAATATTTTGATCAGTAACGCCACTTCGAACAATATTCAAGCTATATCACGGCCACTGTAAATAATCGAGTCTAGACCAGACAATCCAGTGACTGACATCATGAGCATCGATTTGGGATATGATGACTTGCATCAACCAAGTGATCCCGTTAGTCAACTCGTGGTAGCTGTAATTAAAATATTTTGATCAGCAACGCCACTTCGAACAATATTCCAGCTATATCACGGCCACTGTAAATAATCGAGTCTAGACCAGACAATCCAGTGACTGACGTCATGAGCATCGATTTGGATATGATGACTTGCATCAACCAAGTGATCCCGTTAGTCAACTCTTGGTAGCTGTAATTAAAATATTTTGATCAGCAACGCCACTTTCGAACAATATTCCAGTTATATCCCGGACTGTCAGCTTAATGTGGGAGGAAAGCCCGAAGTGAAATATATAACCTAATATAACAGACAAGGAAAAAAATGGAAAAACGCCTCAAAATAATAGCTGACAGAAGGTTATTCTATGTTACGTATTCGCTGTACCAAGAACCCTTCTCCAGTAAGCACCCCCGACCAACTTCTACATCAATCTGTAAGCAATCTCTTCGATCTCCCCTACAAAGACTGAAACCTTAATATTTTCTTGTGTGTTTATTACAGACTTTTTTACTGAAAAACGCAGCGCAAAAGGTGTTATAATTGCCTTGTAACTATTATCAAAATGTTTTAGTTGAATGAAGTTTTTCTCTGCTGCTCAGCTCAATCTCTGAAAATATATTTAACTAGTTGTGTATAGTTTTAACAAATTTTATAAGCGACCCCCTTTGTCAATTATCTAACCGCCTAGGTCACTTATATGCTTTACCGATTACAAGTAGAGACATCAGCTCCCTCAATCTATTTTTGGAATAATATCACACAATGTTACCATTGGTTGTCATCATCTTTAATTACTTAATTTGCTTTGGGTCGCTTCACAAACAATGAAAACATTCGAACAATTGGCCAAAAATAACCAAATATTATAATTCTCAGTGAGAATTACTGAAAATAATCCTCGCCCCAAAGGTTAACATCACCTGTTGATATTTTAGTGCCCTTAAAAATACAACCAATATAAGGGTAACGCTATTTTTCAGGGCATTATCATTTGCAGAAGCCCGAGGTCTTCCATAAATTGCCCGACAAAGGAGGGCAGTTGAAAAGATCGAGGGCTTCTGGAAATGATAATGCCCTGAAAAATAGCGTTACCGTTATTATAGCTAAAATGGATGAAATTTGTTATCATATAAAAAGAAACAACAATATCGGTTTTGAAACATTTACTGTAATCAAAACAAATGTCACTGACCCATTTTTACAAATATTGAAACGTCATAGAACAAACCAGATGACGTCACTATTGAGCGTGACGTCACCTTTCCCTATCCCTATGACGTCACCTAACAACAGGCATGATAATCGCCCGTCGTCAAGCAATATGAGGGCATTATCAAGTTACAGTGGCCCGCTGATTTCTGATAACATGCAGGCGGTTTAATGATAATTCTATCCATTTTAGCTATAAAAAAAGTTAAAGAACACCCAAGTTTATCGTATGAATATTGTCAGTCTGTCATGGCATTACAGAATAACTATTGTCATAAGAAAAAATAATTAAAAATTGACACCCTTGCCCAAAGGGTAACATCTGTTGATATTTTAGTGCCCTTAAATATACTACTCAAAATAAGTTAAAAAACATCTGATTTGTATGACTATAGTTAATCTGTCATGGCATTACAGATTAACTATGGTCATATGAAAACATTGAGAGTTCCTTAACTTCTTTTTGAGTAGCATATTTGTCCATGTATTTACACTGTGTCTGAACCTTTGGAGAGGAATATACTTCACCTTCTTTCTCTGGTAGCAAATGTACCTAGAGCTTTAAGAAACAACCAAACAAAAACGCAAAACAGACAGATTGCCTGCACCCATACGTTGGACACGGCAGCGTTCCTCAATCGTCCACTGGTAATCTCTATAGGTATGTTCATCCACACGTACAACACGGATATAACAGCACTGAGGCACACACTCAGCACGATGTGTAACACGTTCCCATCAGTCCTGCGATTTGATTGGCTACTGAGGATCTGTCTGATGAGCTGTTGGCTGAGTGGGGTGGTTTGAATACGAGGAAGAGGCTTCTGATTGGTCTTCAGTTTCTTTTCCAGCCGAGCTCGCTTGGTGTAGACATCCACGTAGTACCCACTCAGTTGTATGTGCAAGTCTGGAAACAAAAAAAATGAGTGAATTTAAATAACTTTTTTTTTTAAACATTATTTCAGTCATTTCACAGAATGTTGGTTCATTATCATCATCATCATCATCATCATCATACATTTATATAACGCAGGTATCCTGGTACTAGTATCTGCTCAAATGCAGTTTTATTTGTTGCCCGTTTGCATTCCAGTTATCTGAGTGAGTGAGTGAGTGAGTGAGTGAGTGAGTGAGTGAGTGAGTGAGTGAATGAGTGAGTGAGTGAGTGAGTGAGTGATAAAATACTTAGAATCAGGATTCTGATGCTGCAAAACCATTCCCACCAGTATCAGTCAAAGAAGTGTTCTTTGTCATAATCTCAGTGTTATGTATCCAGTTATATCACGGCCTGTCAGCTTAATGTGGGTGGAAAGCCTGAAGTGATGCAGGTCTCAGACGTTTACCACTTCGGTGAAACCCACGAGCACGGGTTTGGTGCTGACAAACCTAGAAACATAATCGGGGCGAACCGGGATTCGAACCCACAATCATAGGTTTCTGGCGTGCCCAAGGGACGCAACTCTGCACAGCGAATAGCGGCGTCTTAGATGACTGGGCCACCCGTGCCCCCGTATCATGAGCACTTGAGTATGATCACTAAAATGTTCAACACCTATTCTTTTCACATACCGATAGTCCAATCAGAGAACGTTTCACAAAATCAGCATCCATGACTGGTACTGTATTTCCGGTTATGCAAGGGGTTTTTCTGTATTCAGGGATTAAACATGAAACTAAAACATTTTTGGGTCTTAAAATGATTAAGTTGTCAAAAAAAATACTCATGGTTCTACGACCACCTACTTTACCACCGTCATATATGTTTGTCGTCATGGTGATAAATCTTGCAATCACTCTATCAGCTCACTTCACAATCATGTAGAAATGTCATATTTCCACTTAAATATGTCTACAGAATGATTATCAAATTACAAAACTTGTGCCCCATGAATATCCAGGTTAGAATTGGTCTTCAGCAACCCATGCTTGTCATAAGGGTTGTTCAGGTGGTCAGGCTCGCTGACTTGGTTGATGCATGTCATGATATCCCAATGCGTAGAAAGATGCTCATGATGTCACTCACTGGACATCTATGCTGGACACAGAAACTATGTTTCTATATTGTTACACGTTTACATGTTGCATACAAGGACTGGATTCAAGTAGCTTTTTGTATATTTAAAATAAAACTGGATCGGATGAATGTCATCGCATCTCAATTGTGCAGATCGCTGCTTTAAGTGTCAACCACTGGATTCAAGTACCCTTTTGTATATTTAAAATAAAATTGGATCGGCCGTTCAGACTCGCTGACTTGACTGATGAATGTCATCGCATCTCAACAGCGCAGATCGATGCTTATAGTGTCAACCACTGGATCATCTGGTCCAGACTCAACTATTTACAGACTGCATTATCTAGCTGGAAAATTGCTGAGTGCAGCACAAAACAACAAACAAACAAAAACAAAACTTGAATGGCCTGTTACTGACCCACATCCATGACACAGGCCCGAATGTCATGTCGACACAGAGGACACACAGCGTTGTCAGCCAGGGCGGAGGAAGGCAGCTTGCGGAGGCACGGCTCACAGAACATGTGGCGACATGGATGCACCACGTGGGGCTTGTGGTACAGATCCAGGCACACTGGGCATGTGAAGTCCGGGTGGAAGGCATCCTCCTTGTTGTCAAGCAGTTCCTGAAACATATTTGTGATCAACTGTAAGAAAAGGGTCCATATGGGTGAAAAATCACATTTTGACTTTTGATTATAATTCAAAACTACAGCATCTTCGGAACGCAAAAATACAATTCACAAGCTTCAATTCATATTTATTACAGAGATACATGACATCAATCATTTGTACTTATTTTCCGACTTATAACTGTTTATGTAATAATTGCAGTTTTTAGACATAATGTCTGATTTATTGAAAGTGGAGATGTCTTGTTTGTTTGTTTGTTGTTTAACGCCGCACTCAGCAGTATTCAAGCTGTATGACAGCAGTCTGAAAATAATTAAGTGAGTGAGTGAGTGAGTTTGGTTTAACGCCGCTTTTAACATTATTCCAGTTATATCACGGCGTGTCAGCTTAATGTGGGAGGAAAGCCCGAAGTGATGCAGGTCTCGGACGTTTACCACTTCGGTGAAACCCACGAGCACGGGTATGGTGCTGACAAACCTAGAAACATAATCAGGGCGAACCGGGATTCGAACCCACGATCATAGGTTTCTGGCGTGCCCAAGGGACGCAACTCTGCACAGCGAATCGCGGCGCCTTAGACGACTGGGCCACCCGTGCCCCCGAAAATAATTAAGTCTGGGCCAGACAGACTAGTGATTGACATCATGAGCATCAATCTATGCAGCTGGGATACGATGAAATGCATCAACCAAGTCAGCGAGCCTAAACACCCGCCCCCGTTAGTTGCCTCTTACGACAAGCATAGTCGCCTTTTACGGCAAGCATGGGTTGCTGATGACCTATTCTACCCCGGATCTTCACGGGTCGGAAGTAGAGATGTATACTGAAAGGTTTTGAAATAATGTTTTTATTACATTACGAACTAACTAGAGAAGAATAACATATTTTTGTACAGTCTGCACACATGGCAATCTTCACTATAGTAAGTGGACGTCAAACATCTTTATGACATCACAGCACAATTGTATCCTAGCAACCATAAGGTCCCTTTTCTCCTGGTGGGTCATATTTGTATAACAGCTTTGCTACGAACAGACCCTATGGAGATTCCGAGTTCGAAGTGGTGCCGAGCAACCTGTGCGTTTTGTAAGAGGGGACTTAATGGATCGGTGGTCAGGCTCGGTGACTTGGTTGATTGTGTGTCATTGTATCCTAAAGTTTTTCCACAAGGATCGTTGCTGATAATGTCAATAACTTCTTTGTTGGTCCAGGCTAAATTATTTACGTTCTGCCGTCATATAGCTGGAATACTCTGAGTGTGGCATGAAACAACAAACAAACAAACAAACAAACAAACAAACAAACAAATGATCATGTCGCTTGTGTTGTGGGGATTATTGACAGGCATCCAGCTGGAGTATTGCTGAGTGAGACATTAATAAACAAACAAACAAACAAACAAACACACAAACAAACAGCATACTAAGAGAGGAGTGAGCAACAGACGTCTTCTGGTCTTGTGTTCATCAGTTAACTGTTGAGTGTTGTGTATCAGGGCTCAGGAGTGTTGTAATGACATATGTTGTCAATCTGTTGCCAAAAGTGACTGAGTGAGGTAGAATTTAATGTCGCATCGGCATTATTTCAACCATATAGTGTCGACTTTTGCCACTCGTCATGCCGAAGAACCTGGTTCGATTCCAGACATGGTACAATGTGTGAAGCCCATTTCTGGTGTCCCCCGCCGTGATATTGCTGGAATATTGATAAAAGCGACTTAAAACCATACTCACTCACTCACTCAAAATGATCAAGGTATGTGTTATATCTCCATGTTACTATCAAGATGTTTATCAGATCCAACCTTACTATCAAGATACGTATCATATCCCATCCTTACTAACAAGATATGAGTGAGTGAGTTGGGTTAAACGCTGCTTTTAACAGTATTCCAGTTATATCACGGTGGGTCAGATTAATATGGGAGGAAAGCCCCAAGTGATGCAGGTCTTAGAAGTTTACCACTTCGGTGAAACCCAGAGCGCCTTCGGCGCCTTAGACGACTTGGCTACCCGTGCACCCTAACAAGATATGTATAATATTCCCACCTTACTATCAAGATATGTATCTCTACAAAGTGTATAACTAAAGTCGAAATGATCAATGATCCCGTCCCTGGTGCCAACCTGAAAGGATGCAGCATATCTGTGAACACGGGCAGCACGTGAAGTTGTGTTTCTCGACAACTGTTTCTCAAGCTTGGCCTTTTGTTTCTTCCTCTTCTTGGCCCGGGCTGACACTGCGTTCTGACGAACATTTACAACAGATGATACGTCTTCCGAGGAGACACACTGATCTGAAATAGTCAAACAATAAGTGAGTGAGTGAGTATTTATAACGCCGCTTGTAGCAATATTCCAGCGATATCATGGCAGGGGACACCCGAAATGGGCTTCACACATTCCCATGTGGGGAATCAAACCCAGCTTTCAGTGAGACAAGTGAATGCTTTAACCACTAGGCCATCCCCACCACCCCTCAAGCATGATAAGTGATGAGGTTCAGACAAATAACAATCCTTAATTCATCCCGGACCATTCCTGTAAAATTGTCTGGATTAAACACATTCCAAGTAAATATATTACTGGTACACACCATGCAGAGTAACTTCCCTTTGCATACATGCTATCAAGCTCCTTCCCAGCGCGCGACACCTTCGTTACACTCTCGGTAACATCGCTGCCACCAGTGTGGGCGCGGCCATTACAAGAATCTTGAAATTTGCCCTCTAACCCCAAATGTAGTAACGTTTATACTTTTGTTTATGTCTTTTGGAATGCCAGTACAGTTATTTTTTTAAAGTTTTCGACTGACCCTATTTCCCAGATGAATTTAACTTTTTGTTCGTTTGATCAGATTGGTTCTAGATTGCAGAGGAACGGAAAAATCACATACTTGGCCACAGTGGTGACTCAGCGTAGGAGAGTGGGAAAATCACTCAAATTCCCCCTTACATTCTTCCAATACCAATTACATCAATTACATGATAGTTGAAATTAAACAGAAATTCAAATTGACAAACAAAGAAAACAATTTAGTTAGGGTAAGATTATTTGGCATCACGACAGTCATCGCTTGTTTGTAAGCATAACGGTCCGTCGGTTGGGAGTTCATACCAACATTCATTTTCTTAAAATTGACTGACACTTTTTTTTACCTGACCATTGAACTTGCTCCCCAGTAATAATTGCCCATCAAAATTAATTTGCTTGTGAACACATTTTACTGTACCATTATTTTCACTGCCGAGCTGGTTTAATAGTTCATCCTCTGCAAACATGTCAAATGCATCAGAAAGATCAAAATGATTCTGACTGTCTTCACACACAACAGGAATGTCACTAACGTCCCCAGACGGAGCTCCTGTGTCCATCCCAACAGGCATCGAAACACACACATCAGCCTCATCCACACCTGACTCCATCGATGTTGCTTCTTCTCCACAAACAGAATTGTCATCACCATTAGCACCACGAGTCAAAGGCTTCGCACTACGTTCTTCATTGCAAAGCTCAGGCCTGTCTTCAGACACCTGATCTGCTACATGTTGATCATCAGTTCTCTGAACACCATCTGAATCCAGCGTGGAGCTTATCAGAGGCTCTGTCACAGTGTCAACGGACTGTTCATGGGATTCAACTGATACACCAGTCTTTTCTTCAGAAACAGCACCCTTTCCCTGAACTTGATGGTTAGACAAGGCCACAGGAACACCAGATCGAATACCAGGAACATCGGAAGGACAATGAACACCAGGAATACCATCAGAATCTGCGTGTATAGGGTGTACCCCAGCTGGTTGCCGGGGAATAAGACATTGTTCTACATCTTTACAGTATTCAACGTCTTTGGCGAAGGGTGTAACGTCCTCACAACGTTCCGATTTACCATGGTTACCAAATCTACAAGAGACCTGTGGAATAAATGTTGGTTGATGCCAATCAGCGATGTCTTCCTTGGCTCCATCACCTTCCATCAAAACCCATTTTCCTGGACCCACGTCATCGTGGTTTTTCTGACTGATCACTTTCTCACAATAGCTGCCTTGTACTTGACCTTCAGCTGCCATGTCTGCTACATGGATGTAATCTGCACCACACAGTCTGTCACTCTCACTGATAACATTGACTGATTCAGCATGTTCAGTGCAAACAATATCTTGAATATCACAGTCTTTCTTTCTTTGACATAACAGGTCATCCATATCCACTTCAGTCCCTTCTACAGCTTCTCTGACATCTCTCTCCTTCTGACTAAACACAGTTGCTCCATCTCCATCAATATTGTCTAGATGTCTTACTGCTGGTATGGGACATGAACAGGACTGACCACCAAGACTGGTCAAAATCTCAACAACTTGACCACAATCAACACCATCATCAGTCCCCATTTCCTTCATCATCACACAGCAGCCGGGTAGATGATGAATACCTGGTCCTGTGTCAGGTTCGTGTCTTCCTACACACCCTGTATGTCCACAATCCCACCTTCCAACAGCATCCCCATCCTTCATCATCACACAGCAGCCGGGTAGATGATGAATACCTGGTCCTGTGTCAGGTTCGTGTCTTCCTACACACCCTGTATGTCCACAATCCCACCTTTCAACAGTATCCCCATCTTTCATCATCACACAGCAGCCGGGTAGATGATGAATACCTGGTCCTGTGTCAGGTTCGTGTCTTCCTACACACCCTGTATGTCCACAATCCCACCTTTCAACAGTATCCCCATCTTTCATCATCACACAGCAGCCGGGTAGATGATGAATACCTGGTCCTGTGTCAGGTTCGTGTCTTCCTACACACCCTGTATGTCCACAACCCCACCTTCCAACAGCATCCCCATCCTTCATCATCACACAGCAGCCGGGTAGATGATGAATACCTGGTCCTGTGTCAGGTTCGTGTCTTCCTATGCGCTCTGGATGTCCACAACCCCACCTTCCAACACAGTCCCCATCTTTCACGAACACCTCACAATGTGCATCATCCCCAGCAACCAAACCTGCTTCTTGACTGGACACAGAATCATGCAGAATGTTGTCACCATGGTTATACACAGTTCCCTCTCCCTCAGGTATGACACTCTGAGTTAGATCATCCACCTTATCACAGACCGCCACAGTCATCTTCAATTCAGGGCCTAGTTCATCCCTACTCTTGCCATGACAACAACTCGACATATGGTCCTGTTGTGGCTGAGCAGCTACTCTAGACCAAGACAAACTCCTTTCTCTATCAACACTCTCCTTCAACCTATCCAGCTTATCTTTCACCAGAACACCTTTCCCTGTCCATGCTTTCGGTGTAACACTTTCACACTGACTTAGAAAATCATCACAGTTTGTAGTTTTTCTATCTGAACACAAGTGGTTATCTGTCGATTCTTGAAAATGTTGAAAACCATCCAGCTCCGTCAAGCACCTGCTCTCTTGCCCCGGAACTTCCTTCTCTTTCCAAATTACAAATGCACTGTTATCATTTTCCTGGAGTTCTGATCTTGTGACTTCATATTTATTTGTCAAAACATTCAACTTACTCATCGCAGAAGCTTCAAAATCTGAAGGCAAATTCCGCTTTTGAGAACCAGAGATGACGGCCTCAGACACGGAAGATACCTCCCTCTCATCCTCTGTAAGTAGCTGCCCATACAAAGACATCGTTCACAGGGATTCTCAACACTCTTGAGTTAAATGTGAAACATGTCTCTCCTTTTGATATAGAACTAAAATCCTTTCTGAAATTTTCATTTTGTGTACTGAGCTGCACTACTAGAAGCAGACATCATCCTCATAGGCAGCAAATGTATGGAATGTTTTCAAGGTCACAGTCGTCACTGACATCCCATCATGCAAATACTTCATCATGTCTAAGGGTAAGAAATATTTCCTGCTTCCCTCTTCTTGTTCCAAGATTTTTCGTTCTCTGGAAAGAAAACAAAAATGTTGAGTACTGTTGCATGATGATCATAGTTACCATGGTTACATGATCTGACGAAAATTTATTCCTGAAATTTTGAGGGGGCTGTGTGTGTGATTTTGGCTTAAAGCCACATTGAACAGCACATTGACTCAATGTTACCTGATTATGAACCCTCGTCAGCATCAGAACTACTCATGTGTTTCACCTAAGTGATATACTGCTCAAAAGAAGTTAAGAACACGTGACAGAGTAACTAAAGTAATATGAAGGAATGGATGTTCTTTAACTTCTTTTGAGCAGTATATCACTTAGGTGAAACACATGAGTAGTTCTGGTGCTGACAAAGGTTCATAATCAGGGCCAATCATGCATTCGAACCCATGACCATACATCTTGGGCGTATCAGTTCTTCTTAGCGTGGATGCTCCTGTCATGTTGATCATATCAGTCATTTTGACGCCCTGAACCTGAGAAATAAAGTTTGCTCTACCCCCATGTGTAGTGTAAGAAAGAATAATAGTTAAAGCACAAGGACTTTAGTAAGATGCCAAATTTAAGAGGCATCATTTTGGTTACTGGAGATGGGCTTAAAATAAAATCTGCAATAAGCACCACTGTAAATTGAAAATCCTGACAGGCTAATTGTCACGCCCCTTACATTAGAGACCAGATAGCTTTTAATCATAATAGAACACCCCTAACATGGATATTGTGGAATTAGTTACATAATATTATCCATTCAGTGTGTGATTATCCAGAAATCTACCATGAATTTGGAAATTACTTGATTCTGATTGGTCAATCAGAGGGTTATTAAATCACAATAAACCCCCTCTGATTGTAAGAGCTGGTTTAAGGTCCGCATCAACGCGGAATCTTATATTCACAGAATAGTACTTTTTTCAATCATTGTTAGTGGGCATATTTATATAATTATATCTACAATTATAGGTTACAAAATGCAAAGTTGCGGTTACTACAATATTCAAAGGATGTGTGGCAATATATTCTGTGCGGAAAACATGACAGAAATCTGCAAAGAGAAAGTATTTAAGTTTTGGAGACAACAGAGAGCTTGGAATTTGGCGCTTTTCTATATACGACTGTGATGTCATATCTTTTGTGTCACAATGAGCGATATGACGTCATAATGGTGACGTGCAGTCAAGAACAAAAGCCTTGCAAAGCTTGCTTAGTTTTCTTTAGTCGTGCCCACCTCATGTTAGTTTACCAATTTGCTGTGCGTATATATACTTTCAATGCCTGTCATATGTTCGAGAGAATTATTACGGTGTAAACAAACTGATTCAGTGTATACAACACTATACATGTATTTTGTTTACAGACTGTTGTTGGTGAATCCGTAATTCAGATCGACAACTCACTCAAAACACTGGACTCAACCCATGCTCAACTCAATATAATTGCTAACACCAAAGAGTTAACGTTTTATTTAGTCATGGTAGAATGGAGATAAACATACTGTGTTTTCAATGTAGAGCTAGGTTACCTGTAGATTTAACCGTGTTAAATTTAACATTTGAAACCTCAGCGTGAGGTTTCAAATGGTAAATTTAGCGCAGTTAAATCAACAGGTTACCTAGATCTACATTGAAAACACAGTATGCTTATCTTCTAATCCTTGCAGTAATAAGTATTATATATATTTAAGTTTTCATAATAATTTGATTCAGTTGAATCACATGACTTGAAACATTACACAAGTGCATTCTGGGCCATGTAAACATAGCCAAAATTTGGTGTTGTTGGGTATTATTGTCAGTTGAGGTGTATTCTTTCGTAAAAGTTGCAACTTATGATTCAACCACTAATGTTAGTAGACCACTGCAACTGAGTGAGTGAGTGAGTTGGGTTTAACGCCGCTTTTAACAGTATTCCAGTTATATCACGGCGTGTGACCTTAATGTGGGAGGAAACCCCAAAGTGATGCAGGTCTCAGACGTTTACCACTTCAGTGAAACCCACGCATGGTGCTGACAAACCTAGAAACATAATCGGGGCAGACCAGGATTCGAACCCTCAGTCATAGGTTTCTGGTGTGCCCAAGGGACGCAACTCTGCACAGAGAATTAGACGACTGGGCCACCCGTGCCCCCCTCCCACAGCAACTGCAAACCATGACATGGAAAGCATTGAGGCATGAAATGGCATCGCCGTGGGACAAATATGGTGGAATGGTTGAGGAAGAGCAACAGCAGCTGTTTTGTTGACTGCAGCATGTTGCTAAATGCCCTAAGGTGAGCAACATGTGTACATGTGACTTTACAATGATTGCTCATTCATGCAGGCAGGGACTAGTGCAACATGAGAGATGGTTGACATCATCTTTAAAAAAGTTGACTTTATACGAAGGAAAGAGTACTGCTTTCACCCTTGATCTTTCAGCGAAGCATCTTAGAATTCTAAGTACCGGTAAATGTATAATGATACATTGATAACTGTCACTGTGGTAGTTCTAAACAGACATTACTCATCCATTGATAATTAATTAGATCTTTTTGTAGTAACCTATCTACAAAATATGTTAACTTTTGTTGGAAACATATTCTTAGGATTTTCCTCATTATCTTGCCCTTCTTGCTTGCACAATTTAACCATTTCACCACAACTGTTTACGAAAAAAAGCAACATTTGAACTTTTAATTATCACTAATATATGAATAATATGTAAACTGTAAAAAAATGAAATTATAATGTAGTCAGTTGAATATTGCATGATTTCACACTCGCTAATAGTGTAGTTTCAGTTTCACTTGCAACAAGCTTCACTGCTAAACATAAATATACACGGAAGTATTTCACAAAATGTTTTCCGGAATTTATGAAATTGTCCTCCGGTTTCTAGATGCCACAAGATTGCAACAACAAAGACAATCAATTATGACACAGCTCTTATCCAATCTTCGTTGTTTACAATCGTAACACTAGTAACACGGTGACACTAGTTTTGATGATGGTTGCGAATGAAAACGAAAATGAGAAATGTATATACAAACATATGGTATTATGTTGTTTTCATATGACTACGTATCTTGTTTATGAATACATATTTTCTGTTGTCAAATATATTATTGTCATTGGAGCTGAAACATATGTTACTTACGAAGTGTTCTTGCAAGTGCTTGTGCCATCAATATAAGGGAGGCGACTCTTCTTACAAGTGCTAATAGTTTAGAGTTATCCTACCATGACCAAAGAGGCCTCGTATGGGTTTGTTTATCAAGTCGTTCGCCACTGACAAAATGATTGACCAAAGACGTATATAGTTATAAGTCTTTGAACTGATATATATCTGAATTAACTTCACTAATATTATTTCTGGATTTACATGTTACCAGCACGTTTAGAATGGGTTAACTGTTACTGGCGAATCTATTGGGTGGGCGAGTTAAAAACTCTTTCAACAATATTACAGTTGTAGCTCGACATTTACAATACAGGTATGGTACTGACGGACCAAGAATCGTTGTCATGGATAATGTGGGATTAGACATCAGCGGATCCTGGAACGGAAGAGTGACACAACTAATTTAGATCATATAAACGACTCATGCAAACGGTCGCATATTTACCCCTGGTAAATTGTAAACATACTGTGATGTGTGTACCATTGATAATATGATACATAAATTAGCCTGTGCTTGCAGTTTGAGATGTCTTAAAAATTGTTAGGCTAGCTTTTATTAATCTGTAGGGGGCACGGGTGGCCCAGTCTTCTAAGGCGCCGCGACTCGCTGTGCAGAGTTGTGTCCCTTGGGCACGCCAGAACACTATGATTGTGGGTTCCAATCCCGATTCGCCCGATTATGTTTCTAGGTTTGTCAACACCATACCCGTGCTCGTGGGTTTCACCGAAGCGGTAAACGTCTGAGACCTGCATCACTTCGGGCTTCGGGATACGCCGTGATATAACTGGACTACTGTTAAAAGCGGCGTTAAACCAAACTCACTCACTAATTTGTAAATAACACCAGCCATATTGCAGTGAGAATATCTCCTATGACTTCCAGTGGAATGATATGAAAATTAATTTCTTCTTTACTTTAAAGTTGACCTGTATAGAGAGAATTAAAGAACCTCTGGGCCAAATATCAATTAGATGTGTACTGTGCCCAATATCACGCACCCTAATTACCATGAATGGCTAGATTAAGTGGTAAATGTCTTTTCAATATGGTGGCCACAGGTTAATTCTAGGTTACGTGAAAACTGTCATTTTAATGATATGATGGACGCGGTTTGATTCAAACTTTTATGACCTTTATTGGTTTCGTAACACTGTTCCTGACAGACCATGCAGTGTTTCAGACTCAAACTCTGAGCGGTTTCAGAGATGTTGAAACGAGACAGGTCATGATGGATGTATTGAATATACCATTGGACCAGACATGGTATCCAATCTTACCGCACATAGTTCCTGCCAATTTCAATACCATATATTTCTGTAACAACGTTGCCACATGACAAAGAACAAGACATCTCCGTACTTATTCAGCTAAGGAAAACCAAAATCGCTAAAAATGATTGTGTCGCGTAGAAAACAAACATCAAAATCAATGAAACTAGTGTCTGTGTAGATTACGCCAATACAACTTGGTGTTACGATTTCTGGACTCACTTATGTAACATTGACCTGATCAAGCAGAAAGAATCCACACCCTGAAATCCACTTGTGCGGGTTCATCTGCAGATAATGAAATTATTGAATGAGTGAGTTGCGTTTTACGCCGCTTTTGGGTATATTCCAGCCGTACCACGGCGGGGGACACCAGACATTGTCTTCACACATTTTACCCACATGGGAACCCAAATCCGGGTCTTCGGCATGACGAGCGAACGCTTTAACCACCAGGCTACCCTCCCAACTCCTAAGACGCGGCCAGGAGGACGAGTGAGTGTGTGAGTGAGTGAGTGAGTGAGTGAGTGAGTGAGTGAGTGAGTGAGTGAGTGAGTGAGTGAGTATGGTTTTACGCCGCTTTTAGCAATATTCCAGCAATATCACGGCGGGGGACACCAGAAATGGGCTTCACATATTTTACCCATGTCGGGAATCGAACCCGGGTCTTCGGCGTGACGAGCGAATGCTTTAACCACTAGGCTACCCGACCGCCCCGCCAGGAGGACGAACCAAGTATCTTCCGTTCTCCGGGCAGACACTAAATGAACGTGGCAAGCCGTCCCACGTCAATTTAACCTCCAGTGCAACACCATATGGTAACTTATGACGACGTTATCAACAAAACAAATACGTCAGAGCCCGTCCCAGTAGTGGCCGCCCACCCGTGATAATCCCTTGCCAAGACATGTGGATTCTAACACGCACAAAGGTTCGAGCAACTCTCACAGGCTGCACCATCCCTGGCAATCTGGTATCTGCACCCCTGGTATCTGCGATGACGGTACGTGTATACGCATGTACGCCATCCGTACGAGACGTCAGCCAGAAGGTCAATTCTGGTGGCAGAACATTAACGTCGATGTCTCCAGTGGCGCGATGGACACACGTCAGTGGAGAAGTCACTTGACGAGTCACATTTCCTTCTTCACTGCTCCAGTCGCAGGGCACTTGTCTACAGGCACCGAAGTGGACGTTAGCTAGGTTACACCGTATGTTCTTAAAGATGGTGGCGTAAAGATCTTGATTGGAATAACGGCTATATGGTGTCAAATGATTGTGAATGATGGGAATTTGAATGATGCGAGATTCCGGGATGCGATTTTGCACACGGACGTTTTACCGTTTTTGCAGAAATTAACGGCCCCGGAATAACAGTGTTGATCACATGTCGCTAGAGTTATACAAGAGTATCCGACCTGGAACAACGTTAATGTGTTACTCTGTCCTGTAAGATCCCCTGATCTGTCTGGGTTGAAATTGGACGAAATTTGCCAGGTCTTCCCAATCCGCCAACATCGTTGCAGGAACTCCAGCTTATCCTTCCACAGGTACGGAATACGTTCTTCAACGTTTAGTGGCCTATATTGACTGTTGCTCGTTGTCATACCTTCTGATATTGTTCTTGCCATGGGATATAATTGCATCCACTGTAGTAAATATCTTTACCGATTGACTGTTTTGTATGGACAATTACATTTTGCCTTTGAGTTTATATAATCTACAAGATCGGTATTTGGGCATGGTTTGTTTACTTCTTTAACGTCACCGACCAGACAATCCAGTGATTGACATCATCAGCATCAGGGATACGATGAAATGCATCAACGAGCCTGACCACCCGATCCCGTTATGCACCTCTTACGACAAGCAAGGTCGCCTTTTACAGCAAGTATGGGTTGCTGAAGACCTATTGGAACCCGGGTCCTAACGGGTCTTGGGCATGGTATAATTATTTAGCGTAGGATGTGATATTCATACACTCAGTTGTGTTAGCTGTGTGTCATTGTTCCCTGGTGGCACATATTGTTTCCGAGTCAATGGTTTGTTGGATCCATGTATTCCAACGATGCTGGATTCCATGATACTCATACACGTTGATTTTTAATGTGAACATCGCGCAATGATAGTGTAGTTTTCACGTGCTCACAAAAAGACCTTGTTTCACCGTAAATAACGCTTACGCAATGCCACACCTTGTTGAAAATAACGTCTACATGCAGTGGTTACGCGTCAAACAGGAATGGCGCAAACTGAAGTTGCAAGATACTTTAATGTTCATCCAAACAAAATATCTTTATTGAGACCAATTAGTGGCAAAACCGTATGCAACCGGTTGCGGGAGTACAACATCCGGCTCCGATGTCCAGCGATACGCTCAGTTTTGCTTCCATGTCGCAATCAGGCACGCCTAGCCAGGTGTAGACAGCATCTGAAGTTCAGAAGAGTGAGTGAGTGAGTCTGGTTTAACGCCGCTTTTAACAGTATTCCAGTTATATCGCGGCGTGTCAGCTTAATGTGGGAGGAAAGCCCCAAGTGATGCGGGTCTCAGACGTTTACCACTTCGGTGAAACCCCCGAGCACGGGTATGGTGCTGACAAACCTAGAAACATAATCGGGGCGAACCGGGATTGGAACCCACAATCATAGGTTTCTGGCGTGCCTAAGGGACGCAACTCTGCACAGCGAATCGCGGCGCCTTAGACGACTGGGCCAACCGTGCCCCCGAAGTTCAGAAGACAATACTGGGACAGTATACTGTTAACAGATGAGTTCAGGTTTCATCTGGAGAACACTAATTGTCATGTAAGGGTCTACAAGCGTCCAGCGTACACGCTTGAGTAACTCAACATAGTCAGTTTTGGGGTGGATGAGTAATGGTATGGGGTGGCATCACAACTCATGGGAGAACAAACCTCATCATTGTTAATGAATGATTACCTACGGGTACCGCATCATGTTGAAGGTCATGTTCTACCCTTTGTGCAAATGCAGGTAACGTCACGTTGCAGCAGGATCAAGCCCACAAGACGTTTAGAGGCACCACAACCTTTCTGTACTGTACAGTTTCTCAAGACCTCTCACCCTTAGAACATGTCTTGGATTAGATGGAACAATGCCTACAACAGGACCAGAACAGGTCAATAACGCTAGTTTAGTTGGGCCAATCTTTGGTTGACATTTGCAACACCCCCACTGCCTTGCCTGTATAATGCAAATGGTGGTCACACATTGTAAGCCTGTTGCTCTGTCTCCTGTTACAGGTATGGCTTTTGTCAATGAATCTGTTTCGTTTGTTGTTTAGCGCCACACGGCATTATTCCAGCAATATAACAGCAGTCTGTAAATAATCGAATCAAGACCAGACAATCCAGTGACATCATGAACATCGATTTACACAATTGGGATACGATGGCATGCGTCAACCAAGTCAGCGAGCCTGACCACCCGAGTCTGACCACCCGATCCCGTTTGTCATCTCTTACAAGCACAGTCGCCTTTGTCATGACTAAACACGGATCAGACATATGACAAGATATTATGTTGTTATTTTCAATAACATAACATCTACACAACCACTTTATTATTTAGTTACTTTTCCCTGCTAGTATATAACATTCGGCAAGCAGCAAGAGTGAGTGAGTATGGTTTTACGCTGCTTTTAGCAATATTCCAGCAATACCACGGTGGGGGACACCAGAAATGGGCTTCACACATTGTACCCATGTCGGGATTCGAACCCGGGTCTTCGGCGTGATGAGCGAATGCT